GATGAAGAGATGCAGAAGGAGAATTTGGAGGAGGAGGAGGAGGAGGAGGAGGAGGAGGAGGAGGAGGAGGAAGAGAATCAGGAGGGGGAGAAAAAAGAAGGAAGGGAAGGAAGAAAAAGGAAGAAAAATGGAGGAGGAGGTATAAGATGAAGAGATGCAGAAGGAGAATTAGGAGGAGGAGGAGGAGGAGGAGGAGGAGGAAGAGAATTAGGAGGGGGAGAAAAAAGATGCTCGGCGAGGGGAGGAAGAGGAGGAGGAGGAGGAGGAGGAGGAGGAGGAAGAGAATCAGGAGGGGGAGAAAAAAGAAGGGAAGGAGGAGAAGGACAAGGGAGAAAGGAGGAGGAAGACGGATGGAGGAAGAATGAAGGAAGAAAGGAGGAGGAGAGGAGGTAGGAGAGATGGAGAAAGAGAATTTGGAGATGGCGGAGGAGCAGTGGAGAAAGAAGAGAAAGAAAGGAGGAAGAATGGAGACAGGATGAAGAAAGAAGGAGGAGAAGTAATGGAGGGGGAGAAGGAAGAAGAAAAAGGGAGAAAGAAAGGAGGAGAAGGAAGGAAGAAAGGAGGAAGAATCGAGAAGAGAGGGAGGGAGAGAAACAAACACTTATTCAGAATTCAAAACTTGTTTTGCACAACGGAACTCCACACCCAACACTCCTGCCTCTTCTCCCTCGCCATCCGCTCCCGATTTCCCGTACCGGTCAACGGTGCCTGCTTTCACTGGCAATATGCCACCAGTTGATGCTTCTGCACTGGCTGTGCCAGCTTTGCCACCCAGCAGCCGGGCAGCGGGCCAAGGCCTTCGCTCTCCACCCGCTCACAAAATTCCCGAAAGGTTGCCTCACCCCCCGGAAAAACTTACCTTCGACGCTGATTACGAGCTCGTGCAATAAATTATGATATTCCGTAATATCCTGGGAGGAGGAAAAGAGAGAGGAGTTGTTATGAAGACATCCCGGGGGTGCGGTGGGGGGGATCGAACCCCCAAATCCCAACCTCCAGAGTCCCAAATCAGCTTTGAAACGGTCCTCCAATTATGACCGATCGGAGGCACAACACTGGAAAAAAGCGACTTAGGACGGTTTCCCCACATTGGTGATCGTCACGGGGTTCAAATCGGCTCGTCTTTACGACGGTGGACAGGTGATTTCCCCTTTTTTGGCGACCTTTCCAACGAGCCACCTTAAGGGGATTCGCTGAACGCCCGTGTTCCTCGCTGAATGGGGCAGTGGTTTCGTTTAACAACCGGGGCAACTGAAGGTCTTAAAATGGGGATGCTACTCGCTTAATGACGGCCTAACTTAAACCGTGGAAATGCTGGGCTGGTTTGCATCTCTTAGGCCAGAGGTGCTTAGTCCAGAGGTGCTCAAAGTTAGCAACTTTAAGACTTGTGGACTTCAACTCCCAGAATTCTCCAGCCAGCAGAGCTGGCTGGAGAATTCTGGGAGTTGAAGTCCACAAGTCTTAAAGTTGCTAAGTTTGAAA